AAAAAAAAAAAACATATTCAAACCATTTAAATGTAAGAGTTCAGTCTTTGCAGGTTAATCAATAGGACGCATATTTACTTGCACTATTTAATTAAAACGTGTTTTCTCATTTTTGTGGAATTGACGACATGTAAGACAGCGATGATTGTATCGTTACCTGAGGTGACACGGTAAACAAGTCGACAAGTTGACAGATATCCAAAACAAGTGCAACTTCTGTAATCCCAACTAGCTGCATTGCTAGTTAACTATTAAAACCATGTAGGTTGTGGTTTAATACGTTGCATATTTATCGTTTAACAGATGCTTCTGACTCTACATTCCGAATGGATGATGCTCGTTCTAAGCAGCTGTCGCAATATTAACGCGCCAACTTCCCAAGCGACCTATCACTAGGCGGAAGAATTTATATGCTGATTATTTTTAATAATAAATATTTTATTTTATTGTACGCTTGGAGTATTAGTGTCCTTTATCCTTTTGATGCCGTTTTTATTTATTAAATATTGCCTCGCAGTAAGCCTTGAGAGAATGATTAAGAACACCCCTGGCCTATGGTATGCCATTGCAACATAATTATATATTATAACTATAAGCTAAAAGGACAGTGAAAATGTAAATGTTGAAAATGAGTTTTTACCCCAAAATCTGTTCTGAGCCTGCTGATTTGCAATATGACACATTATTGTGCGTTATTGTAAGTTTGTTTTATTGTGTGTTATTGTAAGTTTGCCAAATTATTGCAACAAAAAAAAGTATGAAAATATTTTTTTCATTGTGTGTAGGATATATAAAATGCAAGCTATGAATTTATCCTTAAAAACAGGGAAACTGGATATTTAATTTCAAAGTTGTTTTGATGTCATTGATTTTCACTAGTGTCACTTCCATTACAGAATGTTATCAAGCTGAATACATAATTTAATATGTGATGGAAATGACATTTGTTGGTTCAGGAAAATGACAGCTAAGGAAAGAAACAGAAAAAAATGACAGAATTCACCTGTGGTGATTGTACCAGTGTATCTACTGTTGGATGCTATCAGATTAATTACATTTGTAATTTAATTTCTAGAACTCAACAAAGCCTAAAGTGCACATAGAAGCAGTTATTTATGAACATGACCAGAGAAATCTCAAGATTACTTCTGAGGGGCAACAACAGAAAACCCTGATATTTAGTCAGGTGGGAAAATCACTTGGTGGAATCGGTTTAAAGTCTCTACATTCAAATCTAACCTTTGTTCTCTCGCCAGTGACTTCATTGCTGGCTGAGATCTGTTTCAGCGCTTGAGGAAGAGAAAATGGCACATTAGCACATAAATGCACTGTAGTCTTTTGAGGGCAGTCTAGGGAAGCCCTGCTTAAACCACAGGGACTCCTGGGTTGAAGGGGGAATTTAACTTCATTATTCACCAAAAGGTTCCCTTCACTGGGCCTCCTGAGGATCTACTTAAAACAGATGAAACACCAGCTGAGAGCAGCTTAATATGACACAGACTGGAATAAATATGTTTTTGTCTAAATTAACATGAAATGACGAGACAAACACTGGCGTGATTCAAAAGCGCTGTCCTCTCTTATGTTAACGTTATTCCAGGAAGCTATTCAAAGTCAATATTTGGCACACAGATACCTAATATAGATGCCTACAAAAATAAACACATATGGGATAAAAGAGCTTAAAATTCCATTTGAATTAAATGGGTAGATTATTTAATTCCAATTCAATTTCAATGGGGTCAAATGACTGGGGCAATATTTCTGCTAACACGACAAGCTCAAGTAAGACAACATAGCACTGAACCACTCCATACTGTTTACAGGCACAATAGACCAACACAGCCTCTTTCTCAACATCTACCACGTCCCTCTCAAGGCACAACAATCGTCAGTACATGCATAGATTTACACAGCAATACAAAACAATGGGACAGCAGGTTCAGCAACACCATAGGTACAACTGGGCTAAATTCTATTCCATTGTATGGTACAATAAGAACCTTAAAGAATGAAGACATGTGGTATAGAGCAACAGACTTGGAGTTAACAAAAAAAAGTATGGTATGTCTTTGTCATTGTCAGACAAATTAAAAGCAATTTTAGAAACAAAATTTACATCCATCTCAAGTCATTGTGCCTGCATACGGTAGATCAAGCTAAAACTCATTCAAATAAGTGCATTATATTATATAGATGAGTCTGTGCATTCTCTGTAAATTATTTCTGTAGACATTTTGCATCACATCGGACCTACAGTATTATTAGGCACAAGATTTGCACAGTGACAGTTTCCAAGCCCCTACTACTGATTAAGCACATAAAATTCTGATGATCCATCATTAATTATTCATGATTATAAATTTAGTATCATAGAAAATGAAGTAATGATGGGCAAAAATTGAATAATAAACATTAACATTATCCACTTTTGTTATTAAAACAGCTATGTATATCTTTGTACATTAAAATGCAGAGAAAGCAAAAGCATTGAAGGCATGAAGATGATACATAAATACAAAATAAATTAACACACCTTGCTTTTTTTGCAAAAACAGAGAACAGGTAATGTGCTGCATAGAAGCTTATATATCCTGTACATAGCTTAAATGCTCCTGATGACAACTATCATGAATTATTTGTCACCCAATGCTGTGGGTGTGGATTTGTTATGCATATTTTAGAGATAATGTCTGTGACTGAAGACATGTAGCCCTAACCTCATGTGCTCTGTGATGTGCAATAAGAAAATGTGTTACTTTGTCATCCCAGTCTGAAAAGGGAAGACCTCAGTACTACTCATTCTTGTTTTAAGATGGACAGGCTGATTGAAGATTAACGCTGTGAAGTTAAGAGTAACCATGAAGTGATTTTCTTTTCTTTCATGTGAGTGAATGAGTGAGGGAGGACAGTTTGACAGACACACCCAGTAGGCCTTTGGAATGTGGTTCAGCCTTATATATGTTCAATAGTTGTAGATTTTGACAATCACATATGCAGAGGTACATAATACAGGGCAGATCACTTCAAACTAACAAAAAAGGAAGTGTGAAAGGAACTGCCCTGTACACAAAGGAAATGGACCCTCGGCTAACTCTACCAACCATTTCTAAGCCCACGTAACATATTAGAGTTAAAAAAGAAGAACAAATGAATAGTCTCTTAGAAAGGAATTTACTGACTTAAAAAAAAAATAAGTCTGGCCTGAGGAGGTAAATGTCTGCAGTAAGATGATCAAGGGTCCTGAAAAGATAAAACAGGAAAGAGAGAGATTTTACAGTTGGGTCGGCCTCCTGCTTTGTGGATCCTCACCAGAAGGTGGCACTGTCACCAGACTTCTAAGATAAACACAAGGATTCCTTCTCTTTCCGGCGGATTGTGTGGCAGGTGGTGGCGGCGGCCTCAAAGAAGACAGGGGCTGCATTTCCTGCTGCTGCTGAGAGAGGGTGCCTTCCTCCTCTTTCTCCTTCCCTGTAGGGAACCTGAACTGCCCTGAACCTGTATCACTTCCTGATTCTGCACAAACACCACCACCACTTTTTCCCTTCGCAGGGGTCCGCACGGGTCCTCCCAGCCTCGAGAGGGCGCTAACACGTGGGTGCTGAGGCTCCGGAGGTGCTAGAGGAGAAGCCAGGCTCTCAAGAGAGGAGATGCTCTGGTTCCAAGCTTGCTGCAGGTCTATATGGATAATTTTAGTTGCCTCCTCGGACACACAGGGATGGAGGGAAACCATGCCACTTTTCCACGGCAGGTTTTTCTCTCCATATGTTGGCGATGGAGGGGCTGCGACCGGGCTCTGACAAACATCCAGTGCAGCTGGTACTGAAAGAAAAGAAAGAAACGCAAGAAGATACAGAGTTGTTGGGGATAAGAAACAATCAGTTCTCATATTTTCTTACCAAAATTGTGTTCATATCTCACCTGATTTTGGTCTCTCCTTTGGTCATGATACATACCAGTAACTACAAACATTTACATTGTCTCTGCATTGCCTTTGGGCAACTGACCTCACACACACACACACACACACACACAGACACACATACATGTCTGTCTTAGCCTACCTTGGCCTCCCCTCAGGTCCACCAAACTCAACATAAGTGTGTTCTGCTGCAGTTTTGAGCTCTTGCCTTTTTCTGACTGCGGTCCTTCTTGTGGCGCTTGTAGCGAGTGGATTTAAAGGACTCCAGACGGTTGCGCATATTCCTCTGGAACACCTCCCTGTCCTGTCTCTCTTTTTTTCACCCACTGTCATGAAGTGCCGACTGTAGTGGGACTGGTACTGCAGGAATAGAGAAGGAGAGGTCAACAGAAGCAAGCACATCATACAAAGTGTCACCCATTTCACTGATGCAATATAATGCTTGAGAGTTCTTCACAGTGAGAGGGTGAGTGTGTGGCAGGATCTGTACCCGTCTCCTGGGTTTGTAGAGGTTTCCAGCAAGTACATGATGTGTCTCTAGCTCTTCCTCTATTTTGGCTCCTGGCACTGTGTCAATCACCTGGAGGTCTAGACACACCCCACTGCCATTTTCTCTCCTGAGGGATCACACACACAGAGACACAGATAGACACAGACAGGAACCAACATGTATGTAAACACATGTATACTTACACCACAGATATGCACAAAATGTCTTCATCTGCCCCTGCACACACTGTCTACACACACTAACACACATTCAAAAAGATCTGAAAATAAGACAATGCAAAATATATTTTTAAATCAGTATTTTAGTCTTGTGTTGTCTCAACATTTTTAAAACAAAATACATTTCCTTGATATATTAAGTATTAAAGTTTGTAACGTAAGTGAATATACGTTTCAAATAGTTTTATATTGTTTTAAACAACTCTCTAATTTGTTTGTTACAGTTAAGACAAGATAAAAATAGTATCTGCCAAAGGGGTAAGAAAAATCAACCTCTCTTGATGCACTACAATACATTCATAATGTTATAAAAGATTTCTGTGTACAAAAAAGTATATTTATTTATATCTATAAATTAATGTGGTTTTTTTTTTTACTTTCTATTCATTAAAGGGGTCATATGATGCTGCTAAAAAGAACATTATTTTGTGTATTTGGTGTAATGAAATGTGTTTATGCGGTTTAAGGTCCAAAAAACACATTATTTTCCACATACTGTACATTATTAAAACTTTTATAAAGAATATCTCTGGATTTGAGACTTTAGTCTTTGCAACTTTACAGATCTTCTTTATGCACCAAGAGCTTGTAACACTCCAAAGAGAAAGGAAAAATTGATATCGCATCATATGACCCCTTTAAGAAATCCTGAAAAAACGATTGATAATAAAATAAATTTTTCTTGAGCACCAAATCAGCATTAGAATGATTTTTGAAGGATAATGGGACACTATTCAGTGGTGTACATTTATCTTATTTTAGGGAGATTCAAATGTTTTTACAGACAACAAGATAAAAATACTGATTAAGAATTTTTTTTTTTTTTGCAATGTCCTCAAACATAAACATACTCACAGGTAGTTGGTAACATTTGTGACCTCTGGAAAAGAGGTTCTGCTGGCCATGGAAGGCAGAGAGATTCTTGCAGAGGTCAACACATTCCCACCCTGAGAGAAAGACAGAGAATTCCCTAGATTCAAATACTAAACTCTATGCTTGATTCTGATTGGCTGACACATACAGTATTAAACTATTGATTAATGTTCCATAGTAGCTATCAAGTAGTTCCAGTTCAGTATCTTGCATCATTGGAAATAATGCACACCTGAGGTGGTAATACAGCCACACTGCAAAGTGCACTTACACCTTTGGTGTGCATTCATTTTCAATAATTCTGTCAATTTTGCTCCCAAAGTAGATGTAAACCAGCTCTCCGTTCTTCATTCTTCCTATAGATGGTTACCACAAATTACTCTGGCATACGGGTGACTGTTTAAAAACACAGTCTGTTCTGCACTCTTACATACGACCTCATAGTTCGCTGAAAATATATACTCAGTAAGCAAGTACAAACCTGTGGGAAAGACATGCAGAAATGTGACTTATGTACAGAAAAACGCGATTCTGTGCCTCTTTCACTGGGTGGTCCGAAAGAGAAAAGAGGTTTCTCTATCTATCAGTCTTGTGCTAATATTAGTTTGATAACTCCTCTCAGGAAGCCAAGCTCTAAGAAACTCAAGGGTACAGGAAATGATCTCGCTGGAGGATAAAAGTCCTGCATGACTAACGTTCCAGGTGTTTTTTTTTCATCTAGTACATTGTTTCTTTTTGTTCCAATGGAGGTGTGAAGAGGAGAGAAATTACTTAAATTACCTATTTAAGACAAACTGCAACCAACTTAAAAGAATCGAGTGGGAAATGTGTAACAATTATGACATGCATTTCTATACGTTCATATGAAAATATATTACATCAGTCTACTGGAGGCCCTTCGTTTTCTTTCCTCTTTCCCTCTCTCTCTGTATGATGCCATCTCTGAGTATTTTTGTAGATAGGTTTGATGTTGCAGCTGACAGGTATCAGATGCCTACAAAAGACCAGTAATGGCAGAGACACAGTGGCGTCAGGGTAACTAACAAAGAGAGGAATTATCCTCAGCTCTTCTCAAACGACTCTCTTGAGCCTAAGAAAAGTTCTCAGTGCTTCCTCTGCTCAATGCCATAATCCAGGGGCTTTCAGCACTTAAAGGTCCAAGGACCCCCAACCAGACTCTCGTCCAACCCAGAGACCCCCCAGCAAAAAAAAAAAACTAGTATAACTTTTATTAAGAACATTAACTAACATTACTAATAGTTAATGTTCATTCAAAAAAAGTAAGAAATGAAAATGTATTGAAAATCTTGGCTATAATCCACAACTGTTAGTGAGTCCGAATGAATGACTTTTACAGAGTGGACACAGATGAAAATAGAAGTGGGTTTTTTTTGCGGTTTTATTGTTGTATTGCGGTTTTTACCTAGTACTGATTTTTGAGTGTGGGCACCATCTAGTGGTCAACAATTTCAGTACAATAATAATACAGCATAGAACCCTTACAAAAAAGTGCCATGGTGAATTACTGCATGTCCAAATGTAAAACCGCAGCATCATACATGACAGCCTTTCAGGACAGCAGTGTCTCAACACTACCATGTCCAAAAAATGTGATGGTATCATTCAACTTTTTTAACAAGACGAGCAATACCTGATCTGACAAACCACCTACATGATAAATGGCTACAGAAAGACTCTTACCTGATCAATGACACTGATGGCATCTCTGATGTTGATTTTCTGAAGGCCTCCCACAGTTCACTCTTATGGTACACAGACTTTCTCAACAGCAACTTACTCAAATAGTTCTTGTCAAATTGCTCCCACCTAAAGGATAAAAAACAATGATTCTTAATTATTTTCTGCTCTTGTATTTTGACCGAGCACATTTCTCATCATGAGAATAGATGCAGTATAAGTGCCACTCACTTGTCCCTCCAATGATGATATCCATTCAAACCAGCAATGTCCTTCACAGCTGTCAGAATGTGGTCACAGGCCTGAAGACAGAGGGACAGACAAGTTCAGTGCTTCTCTATGTTATTGATGGCTATTTTACTTGAATTATCTTCATCTCTGCATTTAGATTGATTTATTAGTTTATTTCATGTCAGCATCCAAGGCTATTTTGACAGCAAAAATAGGGAACATAAAAACAAATTAATACAAATATTTAAAAGGAGATAAGGGATAGACAAACAGGATAAAAATTCCCATACAGAAAAATAAAACGTATAAAGGATTTTTAGGTGCTAGTAAATTAACTAGACATTGCCAACTGGGGAGCAGTTCAGTGTTGAAAGTTCATTGAATCTGGTTGGTCTATTCACCTTATTTAAGCTTATTCAAGTTGCGATGGCTCATATTAGTCTAAATGCAATTTCATGTCAAATTAGTCTTGCATTTCTGAAATTCATTTGTCACCCCAATTTAAAAAAAATGCTTAATGCAAGTAAAATTGTTTAACATGGAGTTTATAAAAAAAATCACATGTATGTTTGTGTTTATGTATTAAATTCTGTAAAGTGGTGGTTCCCCTCCTTTTTGTCAGTTTGAGATGAGAAAATCTGCTGACTATAACTGTAACAGAATGTGTGAATGACATGAGACAATGACTATAGGAGTAATATCAATATTTTAATTACTTCATGTTGTCTGTTGGAGTTTCTTGAGCACAAATTCATATCAGTGTGTCCACAGCATGAAGATAAGAGCTAATGGATATATGAATGAACCACTCCTTTTAAAAAGTCTACCGACATTTATGGCATCCGCTTCACACATTATAATACTCATGATAACTTTTGTTAACTCTACAATAAGTAAATTCACTTGTCCAGCTTACTCTTTGACAGTGATGCCATAAAATTTACAGCACTACCGTGAAAAAAAATTAAATAATAAAATAACAATACAAAAGGAAGTTCAAACTAAATTATAATGATGGCTGTGTGCTTGTTTCTCTGGCACATAAGGTGAATACAACTCTAAATCTTTAGAGTTTGGGAAACTTCTATTCTCCTTTATTTTCTCAGAATCTCTCCTGTATTATTTTGTATCTCTTCTGTCAGCTCAGCTACACTACAGTCTATCTTTAGCCCAAGGTTTTAGAGTGCTCAGCAGGTAGCCTTGAGTCCCAGAGAGTGCATGCACCAGCAGGGTGTGTAAGGCCTTCAGAAAGAGGATGAGGTAAATGGCAAGGGGCCGTGTGACCTCTGCCTATGTGTGCACATTTATTTGTGGAAAGGCAAAAAAGAGCTCTGATGGTTAATTAATTGGAGGGAAGAGTCTACCGTCAGTCTGTCAGTCGCAATGCTGCTGTTTCAGTCATCAGATCACAAGCACTGCACAGATAGCAAGGTCAACATCATCACTCACAGGCAGTCAGGCAGGGACAGAGGGAGACAGGTGAGGAGAAACAGAGACAGAATAGAGGCAGGAGTTACAGCGAGAGTATTGGAAGAGATATTGACTTTTCGTTAATGGTGGGTTTTCTGTTTGTGCTGCGAGGCACTTTCAACCATTTCACTAAAGGCTTGATGGTTAAACCCTGGGAGGAAAGATTAGGAAAATGTCAACAAATCAGACAGAAGGAAGCCTCCAAAGCTTTCAACTTAATATCACAGCTCATATGTGACCCTGGACCACAAATTAGGGTCATTAGGGTAAATTTTTCGAAATTAAGATTTATACCTCATCTGAAAGCTGAATAAATCAGCTTTCCATTGATGTATGGTTTGTTAGGATAGGACAATATTTGGCTGAGATGCAACTATTTGAAAATCTGGAATCTGAGGGTGCAAAAAAATCTAAATATTGAGAAAATCGCCTTTAAAGCTGTCCAAATGAAGAAATCTTAGCAATGCATACTACTAATCAAAAATTACGTTTTGATATTTACAGTAGGAAATTTACAAAATATCTTCATGGATCACAACATGATCTTTACTTAATATCCTAATGATTTTTGGCATAAAAGAAAAATCTATAATTTTGACCCATACAATGTATTTTTGGCTATTGCTACAAATATACCCCAGCGACTTAAGCCTGGTTTTGTGGTCCAGGGTCACATATTTCTAGAAGCAGCACCAAGTCAGTATTTTTGGTCTTTTAAATAAACTTTTTACCTAATTAAGCAGTATCACACTAGCATGCTGTTTTTTGAAATGCTATTTGAAATTCGTGAAATGCAAGATATTTTGTGAATTTTTGCTCTGCCAATGAAAGAGGTTTTAAACGAAGCGCAATCATAATCAACGTTACGCTTGTCTGAGGAACACTGAATATATCTTTATGAATATATTATATATAATATATATATATATATATATATATATATTTGAATGAATTGTTTTAGTGAAATTAGGGGTGGGCAATATGACCAAAATCTTATATCACGATAGGAGTAATTTTATTTCACGGTAACAATATATATCACAATATAGTTATTTTTGCTTTAAATAAGATCTTTATGATATCAACATTTTTTTGATGCCATAGAAATTTCATAATTCTTGTCACCAGTGTCAATTTCACACAAAAATAATACTTGCCTAAATTAAAAAACACAAAACAAACTGAAGCTCACTGAAGACAAGTAAACAGTCAGCGATTAAATAAGAATAAGAAACTAATTACAAGCAATAGAACAAAAAAACACAGTTGAACAAATAAATAAGAATTGCTACACACATTGTATAAAGTAAAAACACTGCATATTCTTCACTGTGTAAATTAAATATATATTTCTTCTTATTAAAGTTACAAAGGTGATTTAGTCAAGAGTAGTGAGAGATTTTTTCCTCTTTTGTTGTTTAATTAACATGAATGACAGACAGTAGGAATATTAGACTGCTGTCACTTTAAGAGATGCCTGGATCCAATATACTGTTACACATGTGTTTTCTTTCTCAACTGTTTGCTTTCACTTAAGACCTAAATTACTGCGTTTACGAGGATACTTGTAAAGATGGGCATTTTGACACATACAAATGTGTGTATTTAACCGTTCAAGGCCTATAAAGTGGCAAAAATAACTCAGTTCAATACTCCCGTGCTCTTTGAGCACTGTCTTCATGTGCGCACGCCTCTCTGACAGCGTTTTCTTTCGCTGCTGATTGCGTTTCAATGGCTTAAAATCACTTGTTTTTAAATCACAATGCTTAAAAACACGTGCAAACAATAAGTTTCCGTGACCACGATAGAGACAATAGTCCAAAATCTCTACCGGTTGGCCAATTTCTAAAAGTTAATCGTCGCATTTAATTGTACTGGTACTCTTACTATTTCTACCACATTTGAATAAGGAAAAAAGTAATAGTAGTATGCTAGTATGAGGTTGTGAATTCAGCAACTGTTTTCAAATGAATTGGTTGAATGAATGATTCAAATGACTCACTCAAAAAGAAAGCGTCTGAATTCAGAATCCTATCATACTACTATATAAATACTACTATTACTATTTCTGCCATATCTAAATATGGTAGAGATAATACGAGTAGTATGTGATGTCAAATTCCGCCAGCCGCTTGCTTCGGTCCAGAATGAATAATTGGTTTTAAACGAATAGTCTAAATCAGTGGTTCCCAACCCTGGTCCTTGAGGCACCCCAACACTGCACATTTCACATGTCTCCTTAATGAAACACACCTGATTCAGATCATCAGCTCATTAGTAGAGACTCCAAGACCTGAAATTGGTGCGTCAGAGAAAGGAGACATGCAAAATGTGCAGTGTTGATGTGCCTCCAGGACCAGGGTTGGGAACCACTGTGCTAAATGAATGAGTCAGTGACTCATTCATAGAGACACTTATTGGCACCTACAACACTAGCATATCAATGTATCCTGCAGAAAGATTTGCTGAAAAACCCTCAACACTAATACCCATACTGACGGTGTCTCCAGAATGAATAATTGGTTTTGAACGAATAGTCTAAATCAGTGGTTCCCAACCCTGGTCCTTGAGGCACCCCAACACTGCACATTTTGCATGTCTCCTTAATCAAACACACCTGGTTCAGATCATCAGCTCATTAGTAGAGACTCCAAGACCTGAAATTGGTGCGTCAGAGAAAGGAGACATGCAAAATATGCAGTGTTGATGTGCCTCCAGGACCAGGGTTGGGAACCACTGTGCTAAATGAATGAGTCAGTGACTCATTCATAGAGACACTTATTGGCACCTACAACACTAGCATATCAATGTATCCTGCAGAAAGATTTGCTGAAAAACCCTCAACACTAATACCCATACTGACGGTGTCAAAATGTATATTATTTATATATGTATTATGTATATGTATTTAATGTTTTAATAAAAAAAAAAAAACATAAAACAAAAAAATAAACAATGCTGTTTTTCCACAACCTGTTACAGAAAAAGAAAAAGCATACTTGTCTAACCAGCATGCATATTTGTGGAATCTGTTGACAGATTAGTTCCTAACCAACGTTTGACAGTATATCCTGATGATTGCAGCAGTCAAATATACTGTGGCATGTTGGATACACCAATATGACAACACACACATAGACACTCTAGAGATTCTGCAGCCTTAAATAATGGCTGAGATTGGAATAAGGTAAAAAGCCTAGCCAGATGGGCACATCACACAAACACATTTATACATAGGCAGCACCATCAAAATCACTCCATTCATCATAATGAGCATCTCTATGTCAGAGCAGCTTCCGAAATAACAGCAATTTGACACAGCAGTGGGGAAATGCCATCCCTGCAAGGCAATAATCAGTAAGTAATAATAATCAGAGCCTGAGGAAAGATGAAACAGAAAACAAACACACACTTTTATCAACACATAATGATTCTGTAAAGGTGAGAGGAGAGGGAAAACATGAATAGGCAAGAATACAGAAAAAATTTATATCTAAAAGAGTTACCTGAAACATGACTGTGAAGAAAACCACAACTATGGTTGTTGCCACAAAGTAGTCTTTAGCCTTCACCTGTTCTTTATCTAAAAGTACCACCAGAGCAAAAGCCACAGCACCTCGGAGACCGCCGTATGACATCATCACTTGATCAATCTTTTCCAGGGGAACCAGCCTGAACCAGTTCAGGAACCAAGTCTGTCCTGCAACACCTGCAAATGACATGTTTGAGCAAATAAATATGCCAACTGTTAGAGCTGAGGCCTTTGTAAATGTCTAGTGCAAGATTAATTTAGCATCTCAACCCATTATAAAACTTCACAAAAGAAGTTAAATGAAAACTAGATGAATGTACATGGTACGTTTTCAGCTTTCATGGTTTAGGAAAATCCAAAGTGAAAGTTAACTGTGAAGCAGAATATGCTATGAGTGAGGGGTTTCAATTAACAGTTCTCTTTTTGTTTTTGACTTCAGTAACCAAAAAGTACCAACAATACAATGTGACTATCATGTTTTTTGAAAATCACGGTATAGAATAGAATAGAATAGAACTCTCACCCACAGCCCTGAAGACTAAGATAAATATGAGTGTGCTGACAACAAGGCCAGTGTCCCAGGCCCATTTGGACTTGTCCACAGCGGAAATACCCAAAAAGATGAAGATGATCGTCTCTGCAATGCTGGCCAGGGTTTTCATGGTGTACTTCACGGTGGTCCGGGACTTCTGGGATATATTGGCCTCCACATACTTGTTGTAGCCAATGCCGCAGAAAGTCATCCTGTTATGAATCAACAATGCCATTAAGAGGCACGGATATTATATAATGACGATAAAATACAACATATGTATTTTTATTCAAAGAAAATATATAAATACATAAATATAATTGAGTTTACAGTTTAACAGAGTGGTTGTTAATCTTTGATATAAATTGTGTGGACCTTTGTATCGACGTCTACATTTAGACAAAGATATGAGATATCCCCATATTTACACTCCATATACATAAATTAGGGCTTCAGACAGGAATTACGCTTTGCTCAGAGTGCTGTTTTATTTGAGTCACTCTGCATTACTCACAGAACAGACCAGAAACAATGAAAAGTGCAGGATTATAATGATGAGATCACATTTATATCATCCAGTCACACATGACCTTTTTACCATTTTCTTTCAATCCTACGGTTTTATTTCAATTCAATCTAATATAATTCAGCCGCTTTCTGTCTGTGTGCTTCGGATATGTACGCTCAGAAAACCGTATATCAGAAGTTTAAACTAATATGGTTTAAAATGCATGATTTCAGCGTGATAAACATGACAATTAGAACCAAAACAGATGTTTTTAGCAGATACGAGCTGTAATGACACAACTCTATTCTAGAAAAGGGGGCGGGGAGCTGCAGCTCATTTGCATTTAAAGAGACAGGCCCGAAAAACAGCGTGTTTCTCCTTCCACTCAAAATAGGCATTTTAAAAATGATTTAATAAATGATCTGTGGAGTATTTTGAGCTGAAACTTCACAGACACATTCTGGGGACACCAAATACTTATATTACATATTGTAAAAAGGGGCATAATATGTCTCATTTAAACTACATGTGAGAGAAATCATTCCTTCATATCTTGTAGTACTGATTCCTGTGCTTAAGGCATGTTGTATTCGAGCATGACCCTGCATCTTAAAATCTGTTCTAATGAGCAATACTAAAATGGGTTAATAATCGAATTCCTCTGCTCATAATCTCATTATGTGATTTATGACCCACCAGAAACTACTGAGATTTACGGGTCAGCACAAATGGTCTGAAAACAATCTGAAACAATCTTCAAATTGAGTGAAAATATTCATAAACAACATGTTTTCCTCATCATGTGAACAGACATCCAGCGCACATAAACAAACACACTCACCAGTTTTCATTCAATGTATCATTTATCCCTGACCCTGATGTTTTCATTCTCTTTTATTATGCTCCTATATTTCTCTCTCTTTTGCTGTAGTACTCTTAGGTATGAATCATTCCCTCTCTCTGCATTAATACTGTCATTTAACTTCTCACCGTTTTAAATGTCAGACACTACAGAGATTATCACACAGCTGCACATACACACAGCAATTTTTCTATCATGATGGGAACCTTCCATTGACTTCTGTGTTTTTTTTTTTACACTAAGCTAATGATATTTTCTATGCCCTATGATCACACAAATCTTTCTGGATTTCACAATTTCAGTCATATTTCATTTTGTGTATTATTCATCTTCTAAACAAATTTCATGGTCACAGTTTTAATAAAGATGCCGTTTACTACTACAGTATGTATGTAGACACTAATTTTCAAATAGGTCAAGTTATTCAGATGGGTATGCAAGCAGTGGCAACACTCACGATAGAATAGCGGACAGAGAGAAGAGTTCTGCCGTCAGGTAGGTCAGGTAAACCAACAGGAAGACGAACAGTGGCTCTGTGATGCGCACTTTCTTCATAAAACGAGTGACAAAGGCCAGAATAACAGCAAAGTTGAGACCAACCAAAGTCCCTCCAATACTGACAATGAGGAAGGATGCTGGAACAATTGCATGTAAGATAGAGAATAAAAAATAATTAACTCATTTAAATATTACACTCTAAAATAAACTATTTATACATTTTGTACTTACCAATTCCTTTAAAATAGTCTGCAGTGTAAACATTTCCTGGTCCCACTTCCACAAAGGATATGTACACTTTGTATAAGACCTGTTGAGAAAATTACAAATGTATCCCTGCAACACTATCTTGCCAATTTGGAACAAAAGTCTTTATTTTCTATCATAATCTATTCGAAAATGTAATTTATTCCTGTGAAGGTAAAACTGAATTTTCAGCAGCCATTACTCCAGTCTTCAGTGTCACACGATCCTTCAGAAATTATTCTAATATGCTGATTAGCTGCTCAAGAAACATTTCTTATCATCAATGATGGGTTAGGTTAGGTAACAGTTAACAGTTGTGCTGCTTATTTGTTTGGAAAGTGTAATGTATTCTTTTTCAGGATTCTGGTTCAGTTTTGATCATTTTATGTGTCCTTACTAAATAAAAGTATTCGTTTTGGTCACTCTTTATTTTGGGAACCAATTCTAACTATTAACTACAACTTTTGCCTCAGTAAACTCCTAATTTGGTGCTTATTAATAGTTAGTAAAGTAGTTGTTACATTTAGGTGTGGGGTCGGAATAAGGGTTCTAAAATATGGTCATGCAGAATAAGGCATTAACATGTGCTTTTTAAGTACTAACAAACAGACAATATGCTAGTAATATTAGCAACTAGTTAATAGTGAGAACTGGTCTTTAAATCATAATCTACTGACCCCAAACTTTTAAACTGTAATCAAGGCGAGTTAAAAATGACATTCAAAGCTAATGGAGAAAGTGAATGGACAGACTGAAAGTGCATCTGAAATTGTTCCTTTACAACTAATCTTCTAAAAAGGAGACTTACAACAGAAATCTTGCAACAACCCAGCTCAAAGAGCAGTGACATTAAGAGAACAAAAGATAATTATTATGGTTATTTATGATTATTTAATGCCATTTAAAGATATAGGTCACCAAAAATCTTTTATGTAATAATTTATTCACAAACCTTCTGCAAGACACAAAAGAAGAAGATAGGTAATACAAACAAATGGTGCCAACTGGCTTCCATTGTTTATGACAAAAATAAATAAATAAGAAATAAAAATATCATCTTCTATATCCCACAGAAGAAGAAAAAAGTCATACAGTTTTGGAATGCTCTAAATGCATCAAATGCACCAAAATGGTGAACTATCCCTTTAAGGGATAAAAATAAAATGTCAATATTGAATTTATATCATTCTGTGTGGAAAAATGTTGAACGTGCATAAGAGTCTCTGTCTCAGTCCAATCTAGTAATTCATAATCTTTGATTCACCCTTTGTGTTGGATGCATTTTTACAAAAATCACAACTGACATATAACAGAGCAACTGAAAACTATTCCACTACATGTTTGAAGACCTTTACAGAGTAAGTCTGGAACTGTTGTTCCTCACATAACCTGTGAATTCAAGCAAAAACGTGCAGATCCAGACAAATGACATTCTGGAATGGATGGATACGTCCATGCTTTCACATTCCAGATGGAGTGAGGTTGATGTTGTAGGGTAGATTAAAGTGAAGTAGGTGGGGAATGTGTTTAGTGATGAGGGGTCACTGGGCCTTATCCTCTACACATGGCTCAACAAGTGTGACAGCTACAAAACTAAGGGGACAGACTCGCATACAGTCAACCCATACCCAAGACTGCACATGGAAGAGCTTGATATTCTGCTGATTTGGAACCAAATTTAATCCCAACGACAACATATAGTATAAACAAGTAACACTAAATCAGTTTATCTCTAACTAGTAGCTACTGTATGTCCCCAGAGTCATTATATAAAAAATACAATGAAAATGGTTTGGATAATTCAGTGGCAATGTCTTAGCCTAAGTCATTTACTATCGATTGGCTCCTCCAGAGCAAGTAAATGACTTTTGGTTATGTTTTATAACATAATCATGTCAGCACTACAGCAGAGGGTTCTGGTGTAATGTTACCATAACATCAGAGATGCGACTGAACAGAGAGAACACAGAAGGATGCAGAGATTTTCCTCATCTCCCTTGAGCTCTCCTTGAGCCTTTTAAATCCCTAAGCTAACCTTAACTCTCATATGTCCACAAGAAATTAAGTAGGTCTACATATGTCAAAACACTCCAATATCAATTATGCCAGAATTGAGTGTCTACGTTACTTCAGATCTTTTCTTTTTTTAAATAAGAAATTAATACTTTTATTCACATGGAAGAGCTTGATATTCTGCTGATTTGGAACCAAATTTAATCCAAACGACAACATATAGTATAAACAAGTAACACTAAATCAGTTTATCTCTAACTAGTAGCTACTGTATGTCCCCAGAGTCATTATATAAAAAATACAATGAAAATGGTTTGGATAATTCAGTGGCAATGTCATAGCCTAAGTCATTTACTATCGATTGGCTCCTCCAGAGCAAGTAAATGACTTTTGGTTATGTTTTATAACATAATCATGTCAGCACTACAGCAGAGGGTTCTGGTGTAATGTTACCATAACATCAGAGATGCGACTGAACAGAGAGAACACAGAAGGATGCAGAGATTTTCCTCATCTCCCTTGAGCTCTCCTTGAGCCTTTTAAATCCCTAAGCTAACCTTAACTCTCATATGTCCACAAGAAATTAAGTAGGTCTACATATGTCAAAACACTCCAATATCAATTATGCCAGAATTGAGTGTCTACGTTACTTCAGATCTTTTCTTTTTTTAAATAAGAAATTAATACTTTTATTCTGCTAGGATGCATTAAATTGATCAAAAGTGACAGCAAAGCCTTTTTATTGTTACAAAATATTTTTATTTCAAATAAATTCTGTTCTAGACATTTCTACACATCAAAGCATACTGAAAAAAACTATTATGGTTTACATTAAAATATTAATATAACCGTTTTCAACATTGATAATAATAGGAAGCAGAAAATCAGCATCTTAAAATAATTTCTGAAGGAATAAGTAGGTCTACATATGTCAAAACACTCCAATATCAATTATGCCAGAATTGAGTGTCTACGGTACTTCAGATCTTTTCTTTTTTAAATAAGAAATGAATACTTTTATTCTGCTAGGATGCATTAAATTGATCAAAAGTGACAGCAAAGCCTTTTTATTGTTACAAAATATTTTTATTTCAAATAAATTCTGTTCTAGACATTTCTACACATCAAAGCATACTGAAAAAAACTATTATGGTTTCCATTAAAATATTAATATAACTGTTTTCAACATTGATAATAATAGGAAGCAGAAAATCAGCATCTTAAAATAATTTCTGAAGGATCATGTGACACTGAAGACTGGAGTAATGATTTTGGTGAGCATAAGAGACTTACTGACTTCAAACTTTTGAATGGTAGTGTATTTTCTCACTCACAGTGCTGGCCATTATTCCCTATGTTAGTCACACATTGCCAAAGCTTACATAGTACAAGCAATTTGTTTATAAATTAGGGATCGAAGCAAACAAGAGTCATACAGGGGAAGATGATTTAAAAAATGTCCTGACTCACCACAGTGACAGCATCATTGAGCAGTGACTCGCCAAAGACAATGATGAAGAGTGTCTCATTCACATGGACTTCTTCGAACACAGCGAGCACTGCTACAGGATCCACAGCTCCAAACAACAAGAAATCCATCAAACCTGCATTTACTTTTTCATCTGCACACACACAAGCTGCAGTCAATATTTACAGTCAAATTGACTGTAGTACTGCCCTAATGGTGTGGTGTAGTAGCTAAAGATCTGTAAAAGTAGGTTCCAACATTGTAAGCTGGGAGTCACCATAGTGCACTTGAGCAAAGAACTTTTTTTTTTTTACAAATTCATGTATGTGATGCATTTTAATAACAGATAGTAGTAGATATTATAGATACTTGGTGCATCTTTACTTTCATCCAAGTTTACTGCAGCATGGTAACACCCATAAAAGAATGCATAATGCATAAAAATGCATTAAAACGCAAAAGAATGCATGAAAGAATAAAACAAACCAAGCAACATGCAAAAAGCTAAAAGTTTCATGGCCCACAGCAGCCATACAAAATCATGTATGTGATGCATTTTAATAACAGATAGTAGTAGATATTATAGATACTTGGTGCATCTTTACTTTCATCCAAGTTTACTGCAGCATGTGCCAATTTTATAAACATGGTAACACCCATAAAAGAATGCATAATGCATAAAAATGCATTAAAACGCAAAAGAATGCATGAAAGAATAAAACAAACCAAGCAACATGCAAAAAGCTAAAAGTTTCATGGCCCACAGCAGCCAATAAGCCTCATTTAAAGAGTAGTTTATAAGTTGCAGCTGCTGTAATTCCATGCCATGGTTTCAAATGAATTGTTCCTCAACACCACTCTAACGTACAGTGCCTCAACTGTTTTCAGCATTGTTAATAAGAAATGTTTCTTGAGCTCAACACGTTAAAATGATTTCTATAGGACCATGCGACCCTGAAGACTGGAGTAATGGCTGCTGAAAATTCAGCTTTGCAAACATAGGTATAAATTACATTTTTTTAAATATTAAAATTGTTATTTAAATGTTCATATTATTTCACATTATTTTTGTGTGTGTTTTTGAGCAAATAAATGCACCATTGGTGAGCATAAGAGACTTCATTAAAACACTGAAAAAAAAAACATATCCAAAACTTTTGAATGAGGCCCTCCATAAATTACACTTGCCAATGTCACAATAAGGGGTAAATCCGTGCTGACGCCCATAATCTGTGAGACAAAAAGCATGTGTGTCTAATAACACCATAGTCATCTTGATAATGCACTGATGCAATGTTATGGCAGTACTATAATGATACAATAGTTTAAAGGTGCTGTATGTAATTTTCTGACTGTACTAAAACATAAAAACACCATAATACATTACTGGATAATCAGGAAATATGCTAATCTCACATACTTCATATACTTGTTTCTCTGAAAAAACAATGCTACAGCCAGTTATTCTACTTTGAAAATGGGCTTTCCGTGTCAGAATGTCTGTTTTTGTTTTGGCCTTGTGATTCTGCCCATTGACCCAACCATTTCAACTGCTAGCTGTCACTATTACATACTGCATCTTTAAGGATAATATAAAAACACTTTGCACACGGGGCAGCTGTGTCCACTGCCTTTTGTGTTTTTGTCACCTATGTAGGTGACATTCAGTACTGTTTTCTTAACACCTGTTCAGGCTGTACTCAGCACTTGAAGTCAGCTGAACACTGTGCGCAGGTGCTTCAGATAGTGCTACGTTCTCCAGATGCAAGACAAATATTCAGAGTGAATTTTGATGGTGTCACTGTGGCAATCGAATCATGGAGAAACAGATGATTGAGCTACCAGAACTAAATGATCTGATATAACTGCATGTCTTAGCCAAGAATACAAGCTGGAGGGACGCCTGAGAATCACCCACACATGCAAATACAGGAGGCAGTGCATTTTGTGTATGTACTTTATATGCGTGTATTTTCATGAATAAACTACACAATGTGTACCACAAAATGTACAGCGAGTTCTGTTAACCATTTTGTTCTCAAATTCTACATTCTTCATTCATTAATCTGTAAGTTGATTGTACTGTTATGGACAACATCACATCATGTTTTTCAAGTCCAGTTGAGAATTCTCTTGTGTTCTTAAGATATTTTTATAATGTACTTTTGGCACTGATCCCTGTGAGCTTTCACTTTACTACAGCACAACTGAACACAACAGACCTCTCCCATAAAGAAATCATTCTTATGAGTTGGATCTTTTCAATGAATCAGCTGAACCAGTTTACAAAAGAGGTCAAGCATAATTCACGAATAGCACAAAATCAAACGGTTCTCCAGTGAACTCACAAACAGAGAATCATCTCATTTGTAATGAGCCGAGAAAAGATGATTGTAGAAGCATTTGACCGATGCATTTTGGTGAAGAGATGCTAATCAAATAGCAGAAATGTTGCAAATGAAAAGTACTGGAAATAACTTGATGGCATTACTCATACACATGCAAAACAGTGCTTGTTTTAAAGGGACAGTTCACCCCAAAACAAAGATTATATTTTGAAGAACGCTGGGAACCAAACAGTTGGTGGTCTCCATTGACTTCCATGTATGGAAGAATAAAAATATATATATTCGTCGAAATATCTTCTTTTGTGTTCAAAAGGCTGCAAAGTCTGCATCAAACTGAAATGGGAAAATATGTAGCTACTGCGACATATACATCAGTATTAAGAAAGCGTAATAAAAAGCAATAAATAGCTACGTTTTAGAACAATATGCCACGCTAGGGACCGTGTGAAGATGTCATGAGGTACAAGAAGAACTGATTCGCTTTTTGAACCTGTTCTTCATAACAAACAGTTCGAAAGAACCGATTCGCTACAAGAATCGAACTTCCTAGCTAGGACCTGAGTCCTAGCCAATCAGAGCACGCAGCTTTTGGAAAGGTGCCGGATCGGCGGGAACACGGTGAGCTCACGGGGCACAGAAATATCTCGCGGGGTGTTACAGAAACCCACCACTAACCGCAAAGTACAGTACTGTATCTTTAACGCAGTATGCTTATCTCCTGTGCAGCTGAAAGCCCTTTTATATTAAAATGCCCCTGAGGAAATGTATGGGCTTTATTGCCATGGCAACCACCAGCGTCAGCCAGTGGAAAGGAAGCGCGGGTGGCTTGCGCTTTTTACGCACCGATTTACAGCCGTCTGCCGAACACGCAGCCCCGCAGCCCCGCTTTAATAAAACGCACTACACATATCAGGTCCTCAAGACAGTCACCTTTCCGCTTAGCGACAGTCCAACGGGTGAAAGTAAGCTCAGTAGAGTCTATATATCACAGCCAAAACAACTCGTTTAGTACACGAAAACATACATTATTATTACAGAACTTACGTATTTTCGCCACACTGGCCACTAAATCCAGCTGGCTATGATGTAAGGTGTTTGCACGTAGCTCCATTCCCACTGCACTATCTTGTAACCTCCTCCTCCTCCTCCTCCTCCTCCTCCTCCGTGCTGAGACGACGACTCTCCGTCCCGCAGCACAGCAGTCACAGAACCGGAAGTGAGGGGCGGAGTTATTGACAGCGAGAGAGCACGGTGAGTAGTCTGTAATGTTTTTGCTATCGTATGTTTAATAATGATCGTATATATTACGTTAAGCATTTATCTGCTAAGTACTTAATGTGTGCTTGGCTTTATTATCTTATATTGAAACTTGAATTTGTTGTCACACTTTATAGTATATAACTTTTTTATGTGGATGTTTGGATTTATTTTCGGATGCATGCTGTAATTGTGCCTTGTGGTGAAGTTTTGAAGACGTTTATTATTCATAAAAATAGTTTGCTTTAATTCCCTCTGTAATATGCATTGTTTGTGTGTTAATATTACCTTGTAGTTTAGTTATTTTAATCCCATTTGTCATCATTGAGATAATTGTGTGGCTTCATCTCTTGTAGAGACGTATAAGGATTCAGAGAGGTGACACACTACCTGAGCTGCAGCAGTGCAACAAGTGTTACAGCAATCACCAGCCGTGTTCTGCTTGACCAGCATGTTTAAGCCAGCCAAACTGGTCAAATTAAAAAGGCATCTTCAAATCCACTTCAACATGCAGTTGTCTGTGGAGGTATGAATATCTTGAGTTGTATGTTTAATGTACTCACAATTAATTATTGCATAATAGTTTACCTGTGTACTTATTTATTTATTTTAGACTATACTATACATGTTTGCAACCAGTTATTGGTGTGATTATTTAGTTTTTAAATAAGGAACAAGGAAGGTTTTTTTTGTGCTATTTACAGGAAGAACATTCTTATTTTTTTTT